AAAAATGATATACAGCTGCTAGAGCGAGGCTTAGCCGCTCGTGCTAGCCGCGTACGCTATGCCTATGTTGAAAGAAAGAGACAGTAGACATATCTCTGTTCTCTTCTATCGCTCGAAGACGGCCGAAGCGTCGAGCGCACATGTACACGGCTGCTTGCCTGTGTGCGTATCCCTTCCACTTGCTGCAGCGTGCTGTAAGAGAGTCAAAACTGGGCACACTGCTCGAGCCATCGACGTCTCCCCCGAGGTGTTGACTCGGGAAACCCCGATCCTTCCTTCCCGAGGTGTTGACTCGGGAGCAGGGATGCCAGATCGCGCCGGACAGCATCGAGAGTATCGAAGCGGGGTATCCCCACCGCCTCGATGCTGTCGTACGCATACAAGCGAGAACCGCACACGGACGCTGTTTTTGCTTGTATGCGTACGAGAGCATCGAAGGCAATGGGGATACCCCGCTTCGATACTCTCGATGCTGTCCGGCGCGATCTGGCATCTGTGCTCGGGAGGAATCCTGACCGATAACCCCCCGAGGTGTTGACTCGGGTAGCCCATTCGGCCTCTCCGAGGTGTTGACTCGGAAGGTTCCCGTACCGACTGTACCCGGGGCATTGGCACAGGTACACCGACCGTCCTCTCGGCCGTTCTCACGGCCCAGCGATAGCCGTTTTCACGGCTCCTCGGAACAGCCGTTTTCACGGCTCGCCGAAACCGCCGTTTTCACGGCGTGCCCGGACATCTCTTGCTACTTAGTAGCCGCCCTGACCCGCCGACCGCGTGCACCACGTCGTGCCGCGACCCTACGCGCCCGCGCACCGCGTCACCGACGCCGACCCGCGTATCCGCGTTCCCGTAGCTGGATATCCCCTCGTTGTAAATATTCGCGGCCTTCCTTCTTAGTAGATAAGATTCCGTTCCGGAACCGCGTCGGCCGAGACCGACTCGCGATAGTCCGCGCGCGCTAATCACAGGCCGCGAACCGCCAGTCTGTAAGGGCTTCGAGCCCCGCATCGGTTTGACATTGTAAATACGTTCTCTCTTTAGTAAGTAAGATTCCGTTCCGTAGTCGCGTCGGCAGAGACCGATTCGCGATAGTCCGCGCGCGCCAATCACAGGCCGCGAACCGACAGGCTGTAAGGGCTTTGAGCCCCGCGTCGTTACGACATTGTAAATAGTTCAAAGCTTTCAAGAATATAGAATCATTGTGTTTACAGCGGAAACCGAACGTGTCGCAATCTCTTCCTTCCCCTCACCCGAATCCTGGTCTGACCGAGCTGTCCGGCAGGCGGAAGGCCAGGCGAGCCGCGCATAACACGGCGGCTCCGTTACAAATCCGTTTATATACTTGGAGTACATATAAAAGGAGTTTCACTGTAATATTAAAATTTAAAAAAAAAACCAATGCCTTGTGAAAGAGAGATTTAATTCAAAATTTTACTCAAATCCACCTTTGGAGACCTGATCAACTGATTAACTTGATGAAAGGTATCGGGCCCAGAAAAAATCCTAAGGTGATGGCAAGATTTGAACTCAACCCTTACGAAAAAGAACTACTGGCAGTAATATATTGCGGCAGTGGTACGAAAAAATTACTGGCATTCTGTGTAATTACCAGTAATATTCTCAGTGATCCCTGTAATACCTAATAATATTCTTATGTGATTGTCAGTAATATTTATATTATTGACTTTATTTATATGTAATCGGCAGTAGTTTTTTTTCGTAAGTATGTATACATAAAATATGTATACATATTTTCATATATTATTTGCTATATTATACATATATGTATACACATTTTCATATATTATTTACCACATTATTAATAAGAATTGATTATAATAAGTATGTTACCAAAAAATTAGTTCGTGTTGTAAAAATGTACTTTAAATTATATTTAATAATAATAAGAGGGACATATTTCTTCATTCATTGTTGCAGGTACATTGCAATATTTTTAATACAATAATAAGTTAGGTTTTAAGTAAATAATAAGTAAAATGTGTAGAATATAGAATAAGTAAAGAAAAATAATTACAATTTAGTAAGATCCTTACAAAAAAAGAACTACTGCCGATTTCATATAAATAAAGTCAGTAATATAAATATTACTGACAATCACACAAGAAAATATTATTAGGTATTACAGGAATCACTAAGAATATTACTGGCAATTACACAGAATGCCAGTAATTCTTTCGTACCACTGCCGCAATATATTACTGCTAATAATTCTTTTTCGTAAGGGAAAACAAGTAGTCTCGCGGACTAAGTGCAGGGACTGCGAATATGGAGGTCTCAAGTTCAAATCTCGCCATCTTAGGATTTTTTTCGGGCCCGATACCTTTCATCAAGTTAATCAGTTGATCAGGTCTCTAAAGATGGATTTGAGTAAAATTTTGAATGAAATCTCTTTCACAAGGCATTGCTTTTTTTTTAATTTTAATATTACTGTGCTATTACATTAATATTACGATAATATTTCTACTATATTAGAATGTAATATTGCAATGGAAAAACAATATTATCTTGCAGTAAAATTATGTGTGCTATGTGGATTATTACCATTTTAAGTATCATTTTAAGTCGAGATTGCGTTTATAAAATGTACACGCTTATAACGCGCCTATAATGCACTTTTCTAAACAGATTTTGAGTGCGTTTTAAGTGCTATAAAACTGCATTTATTTTACGCTGATAGTGTGCGCTTATAATGCGTTTTTTTAAATAGATTTTGTATGCGCTTTTAAAGCGTTCGCGTGCTTTTAACCCTTTGCACTCGAGGCCTTTTTCGCTCGCGCGAACCAGCAACTCGAGACGATTTCGGCTATGTTATAGAGAAGCATTTTACAGGTACTTTAAAATCATTTATACTCAAACAAACGTATACAAATAATAAAATTTCACTAATTTATTTATTTTTATATTGAATACACCAAAAGTAGACGCCGTTCGAGTAGACGCTTCAACTCGGACGGGCGCCGTAGCGGCGCCACTCGAGTGCAAAGGGTTAAATCGCTAAAAAAACGCTGAATTCCTGCATCTGCATTAGCTCTTTTTTAGCGCTTTTTAAACGCTAGTGTGCTATATGGGTTGTATTTGTAGAAAATTCTGTCTCTTGAATGTGCGTGACAAAAGAAAGAACTCGTTTTGTGTGTACAAAGGCAAACGTATTACAACAGGTTTTATTATACGTTACAGTTTTTTATACATAACAAGAAACTACGATGCGTTAACAGCGTCGTGAGAGAACAGAACAGATAAGACGTTATTACAACAGCGCGCCAATTCAAAAAGCGCTTAAAAATAATTTTAAGTTGTTTTTATTTTTTTTTATTTAAAAAATCTAAGCTAAACAATTTACAATTACTTTCAGATGGGAACATTCTGACAGCTGGTATGTAACGACATATAAAACAGAAAAAAAAATTATTTCTGGAGAGAGATCTGTTGTAATCTCGTTGGGAAATAAGGATAATGAATATATGTCTGATTATATAATTGATGGAAAAAATTTGATACCTGCTATAGCATATCTTAATCTGGCTTGGGAGACTTTAGGCATATTGCAAGGAGAAGTACATACAGAAATATCGGTTGTTTTCGAAGATGTCAGATTTATGCGTGCTATTTCTATTCCAAAAGAAAGTGACATCCAGCTTACAGTAATGGTTCAAAAAGGTATTGTTACTAATTATGTTTTTACCAATTTCTATGAATTATCTGAATTTTGCTTAGTTAGTGAATTACAAGATATTTCAGAAATAAAAAAAAAGTGTTAAAACGTTTTAGAAGTTATCTATTATAGAATAAAGATAGCTAATTCGCGGCACGCGAACCATTAGTAGCACATCTGAAAAAGCATGCTGTCAAAAAAATATAAGTATATACAATATAAAATATAAAATATAAACAATTAGGTAATAGATTAACTAGAAATTGACTAAATACTTTACTAATTTATATTTTTATAATTGAATATTGTGGTTACATACATTTTGTTTGTTTCTTGTGTTAAAAGCGTTATTGGTATTTTATTGCTGAATTTTTTATGTTTAAATCATCCTAGACAGCACAATAATGTTGTAAAAACATATTAAAAACGTATTTATTATCTGTAAATAATTAAAACTTATATTTAATATATATATTAAATTAATATTTATATTTTATAATATATATATTTTATAATTTAATATATATAGTTAGAATATTATACTTCAGATAATTGTAAGTATTTAAAAACTTCAATTGTTTGGTGAAAATATATTTGATACAAAAGTTTACTCTTACTTTTAATATAATATTTTTAATTTTATACTAACATTAAATTGGTCAATAGAAATCAATGCTAGATGTTTGTACAAAACGAATATATATATACATATACATATATATATATATATATATATATATATGTTTTTTTTTTTTTTCAGTGTAAATTATACACATAAATGCGAGACTAACTCTAAGTGCCTTGGTGGCCTAATAGGGAAGACGATGGCACGGAAAGCCGGAGATTCCAAGTTCGACTCCTGGTCGAAGAGTTTTTTTCGCAATATTTTAAAATTAGTTAGGGGGTATCCGGGGTCTCTTATATGTGAGATGCAAATCCAGCATCCCGTATGAATTTAAGAATTGAGATTTCAATTCAAAAAACACTCACTTGTAAAAATTTACAAGTTGAATTCGTTACATGTGTATATATATATATATATA